AGATGAAGTCTATCAAAGTCCTACCGGTTTATGCAGCCAAAGTCTCAGGGAAGCAAGTCTCCCAGCTAACAAGCTGTGAAGTGGCTTTTTTAGCCTTTGCAAAGTGTTTATCACAGTTGTAAAAAGAGCAGTTTGCATCTGGCCACTGACTCTTGCAAGGTGTCCCCAGGGGGGTGACACAAAACTGCAATGCAGTTCGAGGGAAGCTCACCCATGGGCAAGGCAACAATCGCAAAGGCCCTGCACGGTTTATCTGCAATTGCATTTTCCAGCTGTATCCAGAACAAAAAAGTCATAAGCGTTTTAGTATGGTCTGATAACAATTACTCTATGAATCTAAACTTTTCATAGTAAATGATCCTTCCCAGTATTTTTTTTCAGCCAGTCTTACAGAATTTCTTTATTAGCAATTTATTGTTAAACTTGACACGGTGGTAACAAATGGCTATAGAAAAGTATCCAGCTTTATTATAGTCTACAGTATTTTTCTACAAAGGTTAATATGAACCCACCACTCCTAATAATTAAATGGCAATACCTCTGCTGAGAATATTCAAGCCTTATAGTTCTGCCCTTTCAAGAACAATCCTTTGGTTTATGTTTATGTTCTACTCCACTCTTCTGCTGTGGTGTTCCCCTTTAATAAGCTACATTTGCAGAAATTTAGGGATGTTTTCTCTTTCTTCCCCAAGTACTACTGGATACACTATGGTAAAATAGAAAATAAAACCTACCGATCAAGACAATTCTAAAGCCGTCAACATATTTTGTTCCCTAACTATATATCCAAATAATCTCAAAAGTATTGTAGTCTTCTCTTGGAGTTGATAAGTCATTTAATGTATTATTCTGGTGACAGACAAGCTGGCGTTTGCTACAAGCATTTTTATGATTCAGTAGTTTTCAGAGAGACTAGGAAACCAAGCAGCAGATTTACACTACAACAAAATAAAAGCAGAGATCTCATCTGCCTGATGAATGACTAAAGCAGCTTTCATTTGCAGATTTTCAGCTAGTTTGCCTGAAGGTGGAGAACTTACTGTTTAGGATGTGATAATGGTACCCGCAGGCTATAATCAAATGGCATGTGTTGAAGGATGTACATATGCAGGGGGTAGAGAGACTATTAACTCTGGGACAGTTTCCATCTAAGCAAGACATGTAAGTGCAGTAGGTTTAAAAGAAACAGGAGAGACAAGGAAAAGAGCAATGCCATATGAATCTATATGGGCTGACATGCACATATGCATGGCTGGCTGCTCTGCTCAGTCAGCTGGCTCTTTGGTAGGGGTGCCACAGCAGATGTGGCTTCTTTCAGAGAGATATAAAAGCAAGGACAACTGCAGCCGAAAGGCCATTGCATACATAAAAACAGAGATCACACCAGCTGTCCTCCAGCAAAGGCCAACTACAGGGGGCAACTTCAGTGGCAGACACTTATGCCATGTTTCATGTGGGAAGGCAAGCACGTCAGGTTTCACGCATGCATTCAAAAGGCACAGCCTGTCTCTCATCCCACCTTCCACTGAGGGTTAACCAGGCTATTTTGAGCTAAAATAAAATGGTGGTGTGAGAACGATAGAAAATACACACTGTCCCAGTGTCCTCTTATTCTGCATCCCCATCACCTCTTTCACCACCGTCTTTCATCTCTCTCTGCTAGGACTTCACCTATACCCTATCAAAAACCCTCTGAACGTCAGTTCTTTCTACAAAACTAATGACCACGAAGACCATCAGGTCTGGACTACAGATAAAGTGGACAAACCCAGTGACTGCGTTTTCTGTGCACAGATATTTTGGTGCTTTCCGTATGATTTTTAAACAGTGAGTAATGCCAGCTTCCGAAGCTTTGTCCTGTATTTGACCCTTGCCCACAGTCTTCCACTTGATTAGCTGCGAACATGATTTTAACAAAGCCATTTCAACCTCTTAGTTAATTTGTTTCCGAGGCCTTTCTCTTTCAGAATGTGCAATTAAACTAAAAGAGCCTGGAAAAGCCCCTTACAGTAAATAATTTATAAGTTCCTCCCTGGGGACATTTTTTAATTATAACTCCACTGGTCAGATCTTACTGAATACTTGGAGATAGCATTCCCTGCTGAGATCCTGGAACATAATTAACTTATTCCTTTGGTAATGCTATTTTTCTTTAGCCTATGCATTTCTTACGCAGGGCAGGCAGATTTGTTTATAAACAAAGTAGAGATTGATAGATGCTTTGTCATGAGAACAGCAATAATGGCATTCACTGCAGCAGACAGGGGCAGGTCCATCTGAGGAGAGATGATACTGTTTTGAAGCAATCTTTATAGATGCTACCCTGACAATCCAGCATGGAGAGATAGAAGAATGCAACCAGCCAGCCCCAGTGCCTCTCCTTCTTGGCAGCCTGCCTTGCTCCCCAAGTGCCATTTTATACATAGCAAACGTAAATAATTCTGATGCACCTACAAACCCCTAACCTCTGTGCCTCAGAACCACTGCTATGTCCTATCAAACTGACAGTGATTTCATGTTATGTGGCAAAGAGAAAAACCCTGAGCGATAGCAGCAAGGTTGGGGATGTCAAGTGAAAGCTGTCACATTTATTTAGCTCCGTGATCCTCAAGACAATATACATAAATACTGTCTTACTATCCCCATCAGCCAAATGTTAAGAGCTTTCTGCATCAGCCAGGGTCCTGCAGCTCCCCCAGCCTGGCTGATGAGCCTACTATGGTCTTTTCCTGACCCAGGAGAGGCTGGCAAGAAACAAAATGCCATCTCCTTTTGTTACCAATGATACAGTACATTAAATAGTTTCCTCATCCTTTCCCACTACAGCTGTAGCTAAAAGGGCAGTTTGGAGTGAAAGCAAGAGAGAACGGCTCCATGATGTATTGAAATGTGATCAGTAAGGTAAGAAGCTTGGGGACACTCATTGCCTCACGTCCTGAAAGCCTACAAAGCTCACTTGCTTTTCCTATATCAATTAGTTCCAGCAACTTCAGTGAGCTCACAAGGACAAAGTTTGGTGTCTAAATGTGGCTGTGCTGGACAGGGGCCTGTATTATGCATCCAAACTCTTGCTTTTTACTTTTTCCTCCTATTTTGAACTCCCACACAATGAAACATTGACCTTGTCTCTCTGAGCACTTTGTTCCTGTACGGTTGTTAATGCTGGCTTTGAAACCTCTTCATCATATTCTGGATTTTTTGTACACAGTTGTTCACCTGGTTTCATCTGTAGTGAAATCCATACGAGTCAAGCTAGTCGGTAAGCTCAGACAGCAAGATCAAAAGCTAATCCAAAGGGCTGTAAAGTGTTGTGGCTAAACTCGTATCTAACTGACCAAATAATAATAATAATCAAAACCCCCTCTTATACAAAGAATGCCTCAGAAAAGCAAAGCCACAAAGCGCAGAGGTTTTGGATAAAAAGTTTGCTTTCATGGTAGCTATTTGATTTATGAGGCACAAGGCAACCTAACAAAACACAGTTAAAAAGCCCCAGTATCTAGCTTTAAAACCAAACATCATGGCTTCCCCTCAGCTTGAACAAAGCAGCAAGAGGTCATCAGCCACTGATAATTGTTCTGTTATGCTGACATGGCCTCTTAATTTTGTGCCTAAAGTAGAACTGGAGCAGCATTCATGCAGTCAGGTCTACTGTCACACTAACCAAAAACATACAAACATGCCCCAGGATTCCAGATAAACCTCCATGGTTAAACCTTGAGGCAGGACACCACTAAAAGCACCCACTGGTTTTGGTGGGGTGGAAGAAGGTACCTTAATATCTGCATTTAAAACATTTACCAGATTTGGAATCCAGGTTTCCACTATGAAAAATACTGGCTTCAGTAAAGCTTTGTTGATGTCCATGGCAGGCCAAGCAATATGGCATATGCGGTAGGTGATCAACCTAGACACAGGTCTGCCACACACAAAGCCTGAGATGAAGAGGTTCATACGTACTGTAGGCATGGTTATGTTCATAAAACCACTTATCATTGAGGAAGTCTTCAGGTCATTCTGCTCCACAGCTGGTCCTGGAGAATTCATGGATTTTTTAATGATGACCCGGAGTAGTTTGGTGAAAATAAACACACTGATTTATTGATTGAGGGAGGAGTTAAACATGTATGGAAAAAGTGAAGTTGCATTGGAAAAGGAACGCAAAATGTGACAGTCTGATTGATCCTGATTGGAAATATTGTGGCCTATTACTATCAGGACTATCTCTTGAAAGTGAGTTTTTTCCAGAGCAAAACTCACTATCTTCTTCCCGGTTTCCAGGATAGCCTGGAGAAAATGCAACCTTCCACCCAAACTTTACTCAATCCATAAAACCTGCTCTCTGCAATTCTTAGCATCTATTTATCCTTTAATATAGTACCCATAATTCACACAGTATTTCTGGATGTTATGAATAACCTGTGTGCAAAATTACAGAACTTAATTTGGAATCTTATTTTACAAAAAAGAGCTGGTTTTCTCCAGATGGAGAGCTCATTGACTGCATTTTAGACTTTCTTTAGACTATTGCGACCTTGTATTTGGATAAAGGAAAGAACCATATACCAAAGCAACAGACATGGGCTTTTTTTTATTAACAGATACTCCCTTTATTTTAAGACAACTTCTTAATACTTCTTTATTTTAAGACAACAAGGAGCCGAGTAAACAGAGTTATTGTCTGCACTAAAATCAATTAAGGCTTTTTTCCAATCACCATTTTTTGCCCAGCTTACTATAGGACTTATCTGGCAGTTTCTTACTTTGCTCATGGATGCATGTAATACCTAAGTACTAACAACTTTTACCATAATAAGTATCTAATTCCATAATGGATCAAGAACTGCCATTAGTAGACAGTTCACCTTTAAACTGGAATAATAAAACTGGTAAGTATCAAGTAATTTGTTCCTCAAAAGTATGATGAGAAGAAATGGTCCTTACTGTAATGAACATTCACACATTCTTGTTTCTATTGATTCTAGAATAAGAATTACAGCAGATACTTGATAATTAGAAGCAAATCAACGCAATCCTCACTACTATTACCACATTTACAATGTTCTTTTGTTTTTCTTTTGTTCAATAGTGTATTTCTTGTTCCCGAAGTCACCTATATGACTATTAAGAAGTCATGACTGATGGATCTGATGTCTTTGGTTGGTCACTCTGGAAGTGGGTTGAAATCAAGATACATTCAACAATCTTCATAAAGGATTTCATCTACTTGGACGTCATTTTCTGCCACAGGCACTGATTCACAAATCTGCTCCCGAAAAGCCAAGGCAATCGTGTAAGGCTTTCCGCTGGGATGTTTCATACATCTTTCAAGGTAGGTGTCATAATATCCTTTCCCTCTTCCCAGTCTGTTGCCTTTTTTGTCAAACCCAAGGCCTGGCATAAAGATAAGGTCAAGACCTCCTGTAGAAAAATGAAATAAACATTACTAGATGCACTGTGAGTTTCCTGATGGCTCAACTACATCCACATAACTTCAGACATTTGCAAAAATGCAAGCTTTGTGTTTTGTAAAATCTCCCTTTGATCAGATGAGAAATACTTTGAATACTAAACCTGTAAATTTACATTTTTATCTATCAATTGCATACTAGATCAGCCACAAAATAATTAGACCTTGAAAAGCTTGAAGGGAAAAAAACCTACATTATAAAAAATCTATTTTATCATTTTAACCTCACACTTCTAAATACTAATGATTATGACTCTAAATCCAGGCAGAGACTGAACTCAGGGAAATTAAATGCAAGAGGAATCAGAAAAATCAAATGAACTTCAACATCAGACACAAAAATAGGAAAGGAAAAAAGAATGAAAAGAACACAGAGAGAGAGAGCATCTTCTTGACACTACTGTAAGATGTCATGAACCTTCACTCAACCTCCCAAAACCAAAGAGCCTCGAATGCAACATATTCTGAAAGTGGGTATTTGCCCTCTTGTATCAAGATTAAGATTTGAAGAATTGTCTCTTTGTGGTGTCAGGCTCCTCTTCTTGTAAAGGACTTTCTTCCTGAGCCTCCAGCAATTTTCACTGTTGCTCCAGCAGCACACACAGGCATTCTCCTTGCCTGCCCTGAATATCCCTCCTTCTGGAGGGACATATGGACTCCCCAAGACTCTTCTGAGATTGCACTTGATTGGAACCCAACATCAGTTAAAAAACTGAAACAAGCTGCATAAACTGCTGATCATCTGGACAAAACAGACCTGACCTGCTGGTGAAACCCTGACAAGAGTCTTCACCAACAAGCTCCAGATAAAAAGGTAAGATTAGCTAAGCCCTTTTTTCTTGCTTTGTTATACTCTGTGAACAGATGTGGATCAGCATCATGCCAGGTAGCCAGCTACAATTTGCACTCAGCTGCCCACTTGTTTCGGGATTTGATTCACATCACTGCCAGGTAGGCAAAAGAAACTGGCTGCAACCACCAGGCATGGAGGCAGCCAGCCTGCAGGTTCCCATTCCTTATGCAAGGCTTGTTCGTTTAGTGTGAGAAGTCTTACAAGGACATCCTCTAAACAAATGAGCTTGGCTGGCCTGGTGCTGTCTGCTGCAC